TATATGGTTGAAGCCGGTTTCAGTCACGTAAATTCAATCTTAACTAAGAACAGAAATAAATTAAATGTGGAATTTCGAGGGGATTTAAGATTAAAATTGACCAATTTTGAACCCAATATAACGTACCTTGCAGGAAAAAAAAAACACCAGGCACACCCATGTCATTGATTAAGAAGCAATAAATCCGCAGTTACTTAACTTATTATTTCTACTTACTTATAATTACTTATTATTTCATAAATATTAAGGTATTTATATTTCAACATTAATATATTTTTCATAAAACTATTGTTACACTATGTACTATTACTTTAATAAATGTTCAAAATCATAAAATAAATGTACACAGTATCTAATAGAGTTTTATTTTAATTAATAGAAAATTACTTTTGTGGGGGTCGATGGAGATTTCGAAAAATTATATGGGGGTCGATGATCAAAAAAGTTTGGCGACCCCTGGGATAGGATCTGGTTGAAGTTGGCTGTTTGGCATTTTTCGGCTTTTTTTGTAGAAATCTGCATTTTAATATTCAGATCTATAATGTATTGAAACCTATAATCTAACAAACCTATAACGTTTGAGATTTTAGTTTTGAAGTAATAGCTACTACATTGAAATTTGAAGATTTTTTCAAAGAAAATTTGTCACTAGATTTCTATTTAAAGAACTATGTGAGCCCGGTCTTATTTAGAGAAAAAAATAGCAAATTTGCATTGTAGCAATTTATCAGTATAATCAGATCTATAATCTATTTAAACCTATAATCTGTTCATATCTATAAGGAGACCAGATAATCCATTTCAGAGCATATTTTATAACTTACAATTTATTAAAAAAAGTATTTTAAATATTAAGAAAATTGTCTTAAAAATATTTAAAAAAAAATTAATTAAAAAATTCTTTTTTGTCAAAATTTTGCTAAAAGTTAATTCTGTACTCCCTCCACCGAAACGCTCATTTTCACAAGAATTTTCTCAAAAAGAGCAGAAAAACATATAAAGGGGGAAAAAAAGAATAGAAAAAAAAATCACTTAGAAAGACTACAAAATTTCATATACAAAGCTATTAACTGTTACCCCACCCTTATTTCCCCCTTCCCTGAGGAGTTTGAACTCGCTAAGCAAACAAACAAACGTAAAATAAACGCTAAAGGAAACTTTATTCCCCTATACAGAGATTCCCTCTCATTAGCTATACCAGAAACAATTATCTATCGCTTTCTTGGCGAATATTTTTTTATCCAAAATAATTATTTGAATACAGAGATACCAATTTGTTCCGCTTTGCGGAAATAGTTTTTCTAGCAGTAGAATAATTTATGTTAAATTTTGAGATAGTAAATTCCATTAACAGTTTGTTCGAATCACTTCTCAGTGAGCCTATTAAATTATTAACGAAATAAAGGAAAATAACGCAAGTTTTAGTTTTGATTTATTTACCACTTCAAAAAATTTTCCTGCCGATTTCGGAGCAATCGACAATTGCATAATAAGTCACACGAAATCTAATCTAAACAAATGCACACATGCCAACATTCACTCTTTTCGAAATTGGATTTTCCAAGTGGTAGTAAAACAATAACCGAAAAACTATCTTCCTCAAAAATTTATTTATATTTTAATCAAGTTGAAATTCGCTATCGTAAGTAATAATATGCTTTTATATATTTGTTTTAATTATTTATATGTAGTGGTGGTCAAACTGATTTAAAATTATTATTATAATTCAAAAAGTTAAGTGAAATAACATGAATTTCGCTAGCACTTTAAATATGAAAATAAAATCTTCCGGCAAAACCGGAAGAGTTGGCAGTTATGCAAATTTTAAAATTTGAATCGAAAATATATAAAAGTTAGTTTTAATTAAAAAAGTGGTGACAAGTATTTATTATAAAAAATATTTAACTTGGATTACTGACATTAAATTTAAAAATTAACTGAACGAGAAACCATGCATTTCACTTTAGACAAAGTTCTTTACAATTCATTTATATAAATTTTTTTCTAACTTTTCTTTTTGTGGTTTACCTGGATTATAAATTTTTGTAACTGAAATACTAAAAATCATTTTTATAGTCATAAAGCTCCTATTATGAGTCTACTGATGGTTCCTTTTCCCATTCATCTTGAAATATTGAACCTTGTGGTCGGTCACTTCACATTTTTTTAAAAAATTAATTCTCTCTATTTTTGAGAAACGGTTTTAATTATATATCGTAGCAAAATTTGGACGATACTGTGATTTGATTTAAGAAATTTGAATTAAAGTTATTTTGATGATTATTATTTACATAAATTGTTAAAATGTATGCAGAATAAGATTTGAATTTGACTCAGATGAGATAGATGTATATAAAATTTCAATCCGTGACTATCAACACTGCCTGATTTATCCTTAAGCCTGAGAGGGCCAGGCTTGAGACCCCCACATTTCTTGGGGCCCCCTAATTGTTACAAATAATTCCTCTTTCTGTTTTTCATTAAGAATAGTCTATTAGAGTTATGAGTTTACATGAATTGAACCAAATATAAGCTCAAATTTACTAATATATCGTAATTTACTTGTATTACAAATAATTTAAAAACACGGTATAATTAAACAACATGTAAATTTAATTTAAAGTAACGACCTGGGAGACCTTGACAATTTTATGCATACGGCCCCCACTATGCATAAGCTTCCCAAAGACGATTATATAAAATGAACACTGAATTGTTTGATTTCATAGAAAGTAGCAATTAAATAAATTGGCATTTTTCATACTTATTTCAATTTGTAAAGTGTCGTGGGGAAAAATCAAGCTTATAAAAAATGCTTATATTTGCGTTACCACTAAAAAAAATAAAAGAAAAAAATGAGTTAATTACTTTTTGTTATCATTCAGTACTATTTAACTTAACACAATAATTAACTAATTTATGATTAGCAGATGGTATCACTGATATACACGTTGAATGCCCTCAAAACTAATTTACGATTAACAGATGGTATCACTGTTTAAGCTAAAAAAATACCTATCAATTCAATTTTGTTAAAAAAAAATAATAAGTTCATGAATTACGCAATCTGCTCTTATCCAAAAAATGTTCTCGTCCGCGGACGATTAAAAACTTTTTGAGAAATGTCGCCATGGTGAGACGCAAACTTTTCTTTCGCCAAAGTGAACGCCAAATGAGATGGAAGCAACCTCTTCTTCCTCCAGGTTGTAAAGTAGACAAAACTAAACTCGCCCGTAATCTAGTTGCAGTCGGAATAGAGGCGCCAGTTGATGCGGAGATATGTGCGATAAATGTCGGTATACGTGGTAAGGGATGGCAGCCATGATCATCGCGCGGTTGTCCCGTTGAGAAAACTGACCCCTCCCCCGCTATTAATGACCAACAGGATGGACATTAAATCATCAGAACTTCGATCTGTCATAATTTCTATGACACTTTTCTTCCTCTCATCTGTAAAATGTGAGTATTTACTCTTGTTTTTATACACTGTTTTTAATTATAAAAACGGATCCCCCAAATTGTGCATAAAATGTAAATAGTGGTATTAAAATGTTTGTTAAGTACCAAATTATATTAAAACGCGATGTCGAGTAAATTGAGAGAAAAGCGCTTTCGTTTTCGCGCTATACCTCGAGGTGTTAGTTTTTTGCTTTTCAACAAAAAATCAATAAATAATTTTTTAATTTCATGATTAAAATATGTATCCTTTATGGTTAATCAAAGACTAAGTGGTTTAAAAAATTTTTGAAGTTGCTGCAAACTAAGGAAAATAAACTGTGTATTCTAATTACCTGTTCGTAATCATTAACAGATTTGATAATATGAAATAAATATATGTAGTTGTAAAATCTCTTAATATTGAATATATAAGTGAAAGCAAATAAAATGAAGTCAGTCTTTTTTTTAAATTTTTACACATATAAACATATATCTTCTCGGCTATGAAGAAAACACGAGCTGCCTGCTAATTTTCTCGGAAGCGATAAATTACTGATGGTAAGAACATGACATTTCAATCTTTTTCTCTCTCCAAAAGATGTAAACTGATCGTGACTACTAACTTATATGCTTACTTATGAAAATTCAATGAAGTGTGTATACATAATAATTCTTATTAATAATAAGTAGTCTCACATTACTTACTATTTACAAAGGAAAGGTATAAATAAAATGCCTTTACTACCGTGTTTTAGTTCTTTTTTTAAAAAATTTCGTATCTCAGAAATTAATGTATATGTTTTCTTTTGTATGTAATATTTTTTTGTTCACTTGGACAGTAAAAGTTTAAAATAAGTAAAAATAAATGTTTGAGATGAGAAAAAAACATTACTAGAGAATAATAATCGCAGTGTAATGCAACATTATTTCTGGTGCAAAGCGATGTAGCTGGCAATACTGAAACTATAATCGTTTTAGTATCTAATAATATTACTTAAAATATTCGAGACAGTTTCTTTTCCGTTGTTCCTGAAACATTCTTAATTTAATTATGATAATTTTTATATATTAATGTTATATTATCAGTTCCAACGGCTTTTGCAAAATACTTTATAGAGTGGAAGACATTTAGTAATTAAAGCATTTAGAATTTCGATCATTTTGCTAAAATTTAAAAGACCTCACGAGGAAGCTAAAATTGAATGGTGTTTTATACGAATCTTTAAATCTTTTACATACAGTGGTGTGGAGAATAACATTAAATCAAATTAACAAAACAAAGAATCATACATTAAAACATAAACTGAGCTACCACTAAAAAGAAAAAGCGTAGAAAGTTGGCACCACTCTGTTTTAGTAGAAATGTTTAGCTTTATATTGATATATTTCTTTAGTCTAAGTTCAAATGTAATCAATATATATATCACTGTTATTTAGATTAAAAAAACAGGATATTTTTTAAAATGACATTATTATTTACTACTTAATTGAATTAAAAATATTAGATAAATATTCTTAAGGATTCTATTTTATATATAAACTGGTAGTATAATGTTTACTTTCTTTTTATATTTTAAATACATAAATTTAAAATGACTTAGACAACCAATGTGATGCAACAATTTATTTTTATACGTAACACAAAACTTCTTAAAAAACAACCTAATTTCAAGGGCATAACTACAGACGAAGAAATGTAGTGGACTCCGTAAATTCTTTTAGTTTAAGTCTAAATAACCTAATGTTATTATAATAGTTTGGTTGTCAACTGCCTTATTTTTTTAAAAAAAAATCATAGTTACTTTTACAACTTTATCTTACTTATCTTATTAATATATGATACCAAAGTATCATATTGACAAAATTCATTATTTTACTCCAAAATTGACACATTAATAGAATAATTAATTCCTACCACTTTTTTTTTTCTCAACCCATTATGCTTCGCAACCAACATTGCAATGGCTAAAATTGGTTCTGCAAAATAAGTGAGGAATATAACAATATATTCACGTTTTCTTTATGTGTATATTTATTATTATTTTTATTGTTAACAGCCACTTAAATTCTTTTTTAAAAAAGCATTGTATGCTCACCAAAAATAAACTTTATTTTTATATTATACTAGACATTAATGTTTCATCCCTGCGAAGTAAATGCTATGAATGAAACACTTCGCTAGAATTTTATTTATTTTGTTTAATTGTTTGTCTTAATTATATTGTTAATGTTTGTGGACACTGCAAAAAACTAGACTGGTAACTCTTTCTCTCACACCACAGAATATCCATTTTTCCTATTGATAGCTAATATAGTCGAACCTCGATTTAACGTACTTTTATTTAACGAATTTTCCTGTCCCGACAAAAAAGGTACTAAAATGCTCTCATTTAACGAATTTTTGGCTTTGGTTTAACGAACAACAACAATCACTGGAAAAAAAATTCGCACCCAAGTGCTTAATTATATGTATGTATCATGTAATAAGTTTTAAAAGCAAGTAGCATTAGAGAATTATCATTTTAAAGTTGATTTCCTAACGTTTAACTTATAATTTTCAAGCTCGTAGCAAACAATAATGACTTTTTTTCATTATCTGTGTATCTAGGGGTATTTTGCATTGATATTTTTATACCATACTACTCTTTACAAAAAATTGATATTCGATTTAACGAATTGCTTCGATTTAACGAACGGATTTGATGGTCCCAATCCATTCGTTAAATCGAGGTCCAACTGTATTGATACTTTCATAACATTTGAATCCACCCCCCTTACATATAAAAAATTTAAACAAATAAATGAAACATCAAACAAGTTTGCAGATTTTGAGTTCGAATAAAATTTAAAAAAAAAAAAANCAATATATTCACGTTTACTTTAAGTGTATATTTATTATTATTTTTATTGTTAACAACCACTTAAATTTTTTTTTAAAAAAAAAAGCATTGTATGTTTGCTAAACATAAACTTTATTTTTATTACCTTTATATTATAATAAACATTAAAGTTTTGACGCCGCAAAATAAATGCTTTGAATGAAACACTTTCGCTATCATTTTATTTATTCATTAATTTTGTTTAATTGTTTGTATTAATTATTTTTTATTAATGTTTGTGGACACTGTAAAAAACTAGATTGGTAACTCTTTCCCTCTTACTACAGAATACCACTCTTCCTATTGATAGCTAATATAGTCGAACCTCTATTCAACGTACTCTTATTTAACGAATTTTCCTATTTAACGAATATTTTTTTCTGTCCCGACAAAAAAGGTACTAAAATGCTCTCATTTAACGAATTTTTAGCTTTGGTTTAACGAACAACAGTCACTGAAAACTAAAACTGAATTTTTCGCACTTAAAATTTTGAATATTTCACGCCCTAATGCGTAAATATATGTATGTATGATGTATTACGTTTTAAAAGCAAGAAGCATTAAATAATTCCAAATTTGAAGTTGATTTCCTAGCGTATAACTTATAATTTTTGAGCTCGTAGTAAACAATAATAACTTTTTTTCTTATCTGTATATCTAGGGGTATTTTGCATTGATATTTTTATACCATACTCTGTACAAAAATTGCTCCGATTTAACGAACGGATTTGTCGAACCCAATCAATTCGTTAAATCGAGGTCAAACTGTATTAATATTTTAATAAAATTAGAATCTTGTAATGAAGAGTTATTGAGCTATAATGAAATTTAAAAAAAAAAAAAATATTCTGAAAATCTTAGCTTTAGTTCACAACCTAAAGAAAAAACTCTCCAATAACCTCAAATGATGGAGGCATGCTACTATTATTTATCAAAAATTACAAAACTTGAATTATTCATCATCTTTCTTAACTACGTAGTGATCAATAAATAGTGTAAGTAGTAGTAACTATTAACGATTAATAGGTAATATTTTTCTCGTATAGTTAGTTTGCTTCTTTTAAAATAAAGATAGAAATATAATTACTACAAGTAGATTATCTATAACAAAAATTGATGGTCCCGAATGTATGTATCCTTTACGAAGAGATGATTAAAACTCAGACGATGTCCGTAGAACGCTGTATTAAATAGTCATTTATAATGTTAATTTTTTAATGTTATTTTATTTATGTACTTTAACATTCTAAATCAATATCACAGTGTTTAGGGATAGAAAATAAAATGCATGTTCCATTTGTAAAACTCATATTAACTCATCTTACAAACTGTATTATTCGAAATGCAATTAATTTCTTCTCATAATATTGAAGCAAGTCCTGAAGAAAGCCCATCCCATTTCTTTATTCAACTTTCTCAAATAGTGGTGTGGGATGTTAATAAGACATTAAGAACATTAGGTGGTCTGTTTGAAAATCTACACCTCCTACTGTTTTTTTTCTTATTCTTTTTTTTTTTATTTAAAAAATGGCTATTTATGTGGGATACAGCATGTAAAAGGGTGCTCGTTCATCAAGGTTTCATTTTACCTTTCATCTAAATTGAGTCAGTGTATGGCTAGTTTCTGAAACGTTTATTGTGAGAATCAAGATTCATTGGTTTTGAGTTACTTGTTTTAACTCTCAGCAATTCTATAATTAAATATTCCAAGCGCGATATATCGCATTTGGAGTTGTTAACTATATATTCTCCCGCTGACATATATATAAAACCTACGATAGGTATTCGGCCTTCCTTATGTAAGTTTAAATATTTAAATGTAATGTTGTTGTTGAAGTATGCCATTAAGGCAGAGGGGTGCGATTGTTCTTGTTTTCCAGTGGAGCCATTTATGGCCAAGAATTCGACTTCTGACACACTCATACGTCACACCTGTTTATATTTAATGTAAAGTCAACAGAAGATATATTAAAACAAATTTGTTGAAACGGAATTCAAGCATGAATGAATTATTATTAATAATAATAACGATGTTGTATACACGAATAAAATCTTCCATAAAATCCGGAGTAGTTGAACGCAGGATTACTAGCCAAAATGCCATAAGTAGTAAATGATAAAATTCTAGTTTTTTCTTGCATA